AAAAATGCTTAGGACGCTTAGTGGCTATAATGTCCTTCTTGTCTTTCCATATAAAAACTTTTCCAAGTTAATCTATATGCAGACATGGACATTAAGTAGCCATTAAAAGGACATGCCAATACCATATCGTACATGAAAATTGGATTTCAGTTACATATACTGTGTACGTAATTTTAGCCCACGCTTTAGGTATTCATGACGTGTTTCTTCTTTTTTATAACCCCAGTGGTTGCCAGAAAATTTCAACAGCTGCATGCATTATTAGGAGACACGACAATTTCATCAGTAAATCAATTTTGAGAAGAACCGAAACGGGGTTTGATTTAAAATTTGCAGTTACAGCTAAAAAAATAAATAAATAAAATTGCAGATGCGCAGCTGTCTCACCATGAAGTTTTTACAAATTTGATTCAGGAAATCGTCGAGAAATTAACGCCCACGTTGTTTATTTCAGGAAATTCTCTTATCGCAGTAAATGTTTCACAAATTGATTTGTTTCACGTGTAGAAGATGACGAGATGCCTTTCCTCTACAAAAGGAGGACACATTTCTCAAAATATCATTCTATGCTTCGTCTGACCACAACGATGATTGTTGAATGATTTATAAGACTTGTGGGAAACTCTTCGCTCGCTTTCACTCGTGCAGGATTCACGGAAATCACACGAACGGTGATTGAAAAATCCCCGTTTGCATCATGAACAAATCATCAAAGCGAAAGAAATCACTCCATTTTCCGGATCTTTAGCTTTCACGTAATAAACCATTGACTTCCCATTGCTCGAAATCAACTTTAAATCATCATCCTAGCAATGCCATTCCCGAGAACACTCAACAGTCGTCAAATATTGATACGCACTGCTTGCGATCAAAATTTGATCAAATATTAGAAAATAGACTCACGCTTGAATGATTGTACAGCAAACAACCGCATATGTTCAGAAATACACTGTACGAAGAACTGCATGGGAAAATAAGAAGGATTTCTTCCATCAGCCTCAAGAGAATTGAAGAAAATACGTCAGAAATTTTGTTCCATCTCGGGAAGTCCCTCAAGTGAGAACAGAAGACATATCTTTGACCCGTGAATCATAAAATCCTTCCCTTCGATGAAGTTCACCGCAGTATTGAAAGTTCGCCCCAGGGAATTTTCTAACCCAAATTTACTCATCCCCCGTCGAATGAAGGATTCTCGTCACATAACGCACTGGACCAAAACCTGCTGGAATACATCTTGAGATCATGTTTACTTTCACAGCTCCAAACAATTTAGCAGGATGAGTCCTCGACCACATTTTCTCATCATTATTTTTTATTGCTGCGCAATTATCTTTTAGCAATTGGTGGTTAAAAGCCCGGAAACGCAATTGTTTTCCTTGCAATTCGCGAATTATTTTTGAAGATTTCGGAGAAACACGAAAATTCGAAATGCTTCGAAAGTTTCCTCTAAGACTGAATTTTTCTGATACCTTGGACTGACATGCAATAATCATTTTCTGAATTTAATTTTTTTAAACTTCGTTCCAGAAATCGACTGTATCCCCACACTTCAATTATTCGATTGATTCGCTGGACGGAAAATTTTCTGCATCGGCAATGTCCATTAGATTCGAACTTTTTTTCGAAGAATACTGTAATGCTGAAGTTTATCTAAATTCTTCGGGGTGTTTTACAAGTGAATTTAAAAGTGAATGCAGCTTTTTACTCTAACCAAGAAGTTGGCAACGCATAGGACTGATTTTCTCACTCCGAATGACGTGTTGAGCTTTTAAAAAATTCAAACATGAGATTTTCCCGGAAACCAACCGTTTTTTTCTTCAGCTCAAATGCCAATTTCACGCGCCGAGTTTCAAAATATTTTAATTTTTCCTTCGGGTTTTTCTTCTTTATGCAATGGCATTTTTTCTCGAGGCGGCAATTTTCAAGATTTTGCATGCCATTGTAAATAGTAAAAGAGCTTGATTTTTTTCTATATGATTCGAGGAAGGACAAACCACGTACAGTACAGGCTTCGAATATGAGCCAGCTTCGCATTCTGCATGATGGAAAATAAATTGAACAATTCAAACGATTTCTGACGGCGTACTTTCCCTTTTCAAGCGGGAAAAGAGCTTTTAAGGTTTTTGTCTCGATAAACGCTATTAAAATAAGTACGCTTTTAAACGGGGCTAATAATGCCTTAAAGTAAACTTGCATTTTAAAGCTTTAAAAGGAGAAAAAAAAGGTCATGAAAAGCCATTCAACGAACGAGGTCATGCACGATTCATGCAGCAATTGCAACGTTCGTGACACTCAGCAAGGACCAATTTCAGTTCCATATGTTAACTATATAGTACGGTGTATGAATCGTCACATGTGACGTCACTGAGTGCAAAACCGTACGTCAATGTGGCGAGAAAATTAAGGTTTATAGCCCATGGCAACAGCTCCCGGGTGTCGGGTCAAATGCTTGCGAGACAACTGGGCGCTGACTCCTATCATATCATCAGGGACATTCACATCATTTGTTCAATTTCTTTTGCTGCTAAAACTCTGAAATTTCGGATAACTTTTCTAAAGGTGCTATTCCGCTCAATTTTCGAAAATCGGAGAAAAGAATATTGTGCATCAATGGCTACTCATGAAACACGCACACGTAATCTCGTTGCCACTGAAAATAATATTGAATCTTCTCTTTTATTCTGTATTTTTCCTCAATTCTCGACACATACATTTTGAATCAAGTGCTTAACAGTATATTGCACTTAATTAGGATAGGTTAGGGTCTGGTAATGATGGGCGAAGGGCTTATTTGTTAAAGGGGCTATGACATGTTTTAGGGTGTGATAGCTTTTTATATCAAGCTCATTTAGAAACAAGTATGTTAACTCACTCAAGCTTTACAGCATTTTTTTCCTTTTCGTGTGACACAGTGAAACTTTTTGAGTTTGCTTCAGTACCCTTTGTTACTCACAGTGACTCACCGAAAATACCCATTAATTGTTTTCAAATACTCCATAATTGTTATTCATGGCCATTTTCTGTATGAGATGCAAAAATGGCGCGAAAGTGAACAAAAGAAAATTGAATTCAAGTATACAATATTGAGGACGTAACAATGCGCTTGGTTTCTGCGAAAAAAAACTTGAAATTCAGGTCGGTATCTGAAAATATAGCACAAATTTGAAGTTTAAAATCCACACTTGCCTTGTGACGCTCAAATTATCAGCGTTCGAACATCCAGCGCTCAGTTGGGCAGCGTTTATTACGATAGTTATCCTATCACGCAGCTCCACAATAGGAAATAAAACCTCAAAAACGTCATTATCTGTAGTGTATGGTGTGCCAAAAGAAAAGTACTTATCTATATCGTCCACACATTGCAGCACGTATTATATTCGCTGGCATGCAAAGAGCAAATCACCGGTCGCGAGAAAATGTGGCCCCAAGTCACGATTTTCGTAAGCTAAACACCGACGTCGACGTGGTTTCAGGAATCACATGGCGTCACAAAGTCATAAATTTCCCACCATTAATCGAACATGTTTTGCTTGAACCGACGGAAACCTAATTTCCCGATCGCATGTGGTAAAACTGACGCAGATTTATTTCGCGCGCATATTATTATACTGTACCTGCACGGTTTTCAGACGGATATATGAAATCGAAAATCGACAAGGGAAGTTCTCTGCCTTTGTCAGAGGACTTTCTCCGTTCTTCATATAGTGCCCCGTTCGACACATTAACCAAATTATGCCTGATAAGGAGTAATGCGCGTGTTTTCTAATATGCATTCATGCGCGCGGGAATCGTTACATCCATCATTACTGAAATGCCCAAAAAAAAATCCGCATTTCTTTTTTTTTTCTTCTTTTCTGGAGTAGAATGAACTCAAAGATAGCCGCCCACTGACGAACGAACTCTTCCGCAATTGATGCATAATGTTAAAAAATTACCAAGACCGGAAAAACCTGCACCGTTGCCTTTTTCTTATCTTTGCGCTTCATTCATAAGAGCCGCATCTTGATGAGAAGATCTGCGAAATTTTTAGAAGGAGAAACCAAGGTCACGAGGCTTTAAAAATACACTTATGTGACTTATCTAACCTCGAAAACTCATTCCGGCCTCAATCTTCAAAACTTGCACTCTTCTTTACTCTAGTGCCGCATGGCTGGTTTAATTTGACATAATAGCAGCTGAAATTTAAAAAGGTGAGGCAATTCAAAATTAAAGATCAAGTGAAGATTTATTATCCTAGTACAGGGAAGGAAATTGAAGTTTTCAGATTTGACGATGAAAATCGCGAATTAATCTGATTGAAACAAGCTGCTCGGCCAGGAGTAGAGATTGAGCAGATATATGAACATTTTCAGTTACTCCAGCGTTTTAGAATATAGTTATTTATCCAAAATAATTAAAATATCGTCAAGGTCAGTGCATCATAGAAACAAAAATCAATGAAAAGTTGAGATGTCTCAAAACAACTCACGGCTTGAATTCGACGCGATTCTGTTCAGCATTTTCGATTTTCGAATGCAGTTATGAATAGGTTTCTTATTCAACCCTCATCACTTTTATTTCATTACAAATTTTAAATAAGAATGGCTGCGTTCAAGGCAGGGTAAAATGCAGCTGAAGATATATTATTAAAGTGATAACATAATTAAGCCCACCATCAAAAATAAAGATATGGCTTTCGGTGCGATGATTTAAAAAAGAACATGTTCAAAATTCATTGTTTTTTGCTCACGTTGATCGAGAAAATTTCAGCTTGGGACTTTTCACCATTGCATAATGTCCTTAGTAATCCATAACATTTGAAAGTGTTCCCAACATGCATTATTTTACAGTGCATGGAGGCAATTCAATGCACGACTTGTAACGCCCACATGTGCATTGCATCTCTGTTTTTCTCATATTTTCCCGAATTATGATTCTTTTTCAACTTACGCCTTTGGAAATCCACCTTTTTATTTTCAGTAAAATCTCATGTAACATATAACAGGATGTGTGGCGAAAAAATGTTATGCGTAAGAATAGTTGGAAAAAAACAGTGGCGTATCATAGTTGATGAATGAATTTTTCTGGTTGCAGTTTTGCGAGCAAGTGCCAGCACCCAAGAAGCGGGTCTGCGAAGACACGGACATAGCGTACGTCGTGGAGACGACTTACCCACACATTGAGACAATGCGGATCGGGCAGAATTTTCGCCATTTCTGCACGTGCCCACTCAACACCAAATTCGAGCTGAAGGAATATTACACGAAAAATGGACCTCTGGCAGACATCGACATCTCTGAGTACACTTGTGCTCCGGTGAGTTTCATTATCGTTTTCCCGCGCGTATCCGCATCCTGCATCTTTCGCGCTAATGGTCCCCATCATATACTGCATAGAAGGAACTGGTCGAAAAACGGGGATCTTCCGAAACCTGTGATGATGAACCCAGGCAAACGAGGGGTTCTAATAAAGTATCCGAGACAATTATATGAATTCACCATTTGAATGATACTGCATCATCAACGCATGTCGCTTGCAGAAATCGCCCATCAAAACCATCCAGGATAATATCCAATTATTGGAAATACTGCATCAGTTATCGGCTACCCGTATAAACCCATCATCGTTCTCACAAATGCGATTCCTCTCTTTGAAAAATTACCGAATTGTCAAAAATAATAAACTGTACTCGACTGCGAGGGCCAAGAAAGTTAACCGAAGTTCATGCCGCAGTTTGACCTGAATGACTTGAGTCATGCATTCTCGTTGCTATAAAAGCTTCTTCAAATTACCGAATAATTTTCAGTTAATAATTTTAGTTGAATTAGTATTGACAGAATGCAATTTGAAGAAAACTGAGTCCAAAGAGACAGTTGTGCCATTTTATTCTTCAGAATTTTTGAAAAAATGGACGAGGAATTCGTGCGAAGGTTGTCTTAATTACGCAAGCACGCCTTCAAATGATCCAGTCGAAAATTTACATATCTATTTCAGGATTTTGAATTGTTTTTCCTATGGAAATACATAATTAATTTCTCAACAGCTCGGGCGAAATTAAAATTATATTTATTCGGCGGAAGAAGAGTCCATTTACTCCGTACCAATTCACCTTTGAACAGTTTCTTAAATGAGTCAAGACAAAAAAATGTATGAAGGCAGCGCAAAATTAATGAATTCTTAATGCAAAAACTGACCCTCTTTTTCAAAATTTAAGAAAGGATTAACCATGAATTTGTGATCGAAGTAAAAGGAAGAAGATATTCAATGATGGATCATGGAACACATCACGCGGTTCATGATTCATACGCTAAAAATTTTGCAAATCAAAGAGATCATGCTGTATCCCAAACGCACATTTTTTGGCATTTTTTTAATTATGTCCATCTTATATTAAATGATAAAAAGGGACACTTCTCCACAGGAAAGAATGAAGGCGTGAACTTTCGTTATGCCCCTCGCATTTGTCTCTGCATGTGCTGTAATGCTATGTGAGCTTCGGGCAGGATCCATCAGGATTAATTGCAACCGGAATGTAGGAAATATACGGGTTCATATAGATCCTCTTATATACACAGTATAGTCGCCAGAGGCACAGCTGCCAAATTCTATCCATGCCCACGGGGTACGGCCCGCGCGAATGATTCAGCGTGATTTACCGATCGTCAACAATGATTTCGGCCATCCATTATCCACAGAATATCGAACACATTTCCACAGCAAAAGTTGGCTATCGATCGTAAAATTACTTCTCAAGCGCCCTCTCGAGTTAAATTCAAAGCATTAAAATTATGAAGCTTCGGTAAACAATTAATGTCAGGAGCTCTCGACGATATTCTCAGCCGTGATTCACTCAGAGGGAACACAACGAAATGCAATCAGGTTTCCGGAAGACTTATATGAATTCATTTTCAATTTAAAATGAAGACTCACAGTTAATTTGCTTCAGGGCAAAAAAGCACTCCACACGTCACATGCAGAACTCCAAGACAACTCACGAACTTTCATACGCTGTATACGCTGAAGACGTTGATGTTACTCACTAAATTATTGCTAATTTCCATTTTTAGCCAACCGCCAACTCAAAGCCTTTATTCAAACGCAGAAAGCATCATCTCCCACCCGTCAGCACGTCTTTCATTCAGCACTCCAGAGTCTTGACACGGAAAAGCTGGTCGACAAAACAGGGTTCTTCCATTAGCAGAATTTCCATTCAAAGGTTCAAAATTGAAAAAAAAAGTTTGTTGACGACGAGAACATGCAACACGCGGGCGTAAAGCAAAATATTTTATTCAAGTTTTCCAAAGAAGACGACGAGAACGTGTGGAAGCAGAGCAGTCAACAAAATTCATGCTCTCCTGTACAGTACTGAAAATACGAACAGTGTACCTAGAAACAGATCAAAGAAAGTTGAGAATCCATCTCTACGATTCAGATGACGAAATCGAGAAAAGTAATTCCTGTCAGAATTTCTGCTTCTAATTTTTTGACCTTCATTTTTTTAAAAATCGCACCAAACGATGCAGTCAAGGAAGTTCTATAATGACGAAGAAAATTATTCGCTATTTTCAAACAGACTCCTTTCGCAAGTAAATCCATTAAATTTCGCAAAAATTGTTGGAAGGTGAATTAAAGTACTATCAGAGATTCCAAAAAACACGGACGCCCAAAAGTAATAAAAACGCGAATAAAAAAGCTGACATATCCTTTCCCACCGCTACAAATTTTAGCATTCATATATTTTCAGCAAGTTGTCATCATGAGAATAACAACAAAATCAGAATTGCCATCTCTTTAAACACAGCACTTCACGATGGTCAAGGTCCAATTTTGATTGGACCTTCAATAAAAAAAAATCATCGATTGCTGGAAGGGATTGCGGAACATACTGTATACGGTCGGAATATTTCATTCGTCAATTATTTAAAAAATAAAATGCTAATAATTAATCGAATCATCTGATCTATCTCCCGCAGTTGGCGGCTTGCAAGCCAGAAGATTCATGCAAAACGGTCACCGAAACGCCGGACTCCTTCATCGTGGAGAACAACTGCGCGTGTCCGTCTCCGAGCAAGTGCCCGACTTCCGGCAAGCCATCTCAAGAAATGCCAGTCGGCAAAGGCGTCGTCAAGTTCATCCCGTGCCAATAAAAAAAAAAACAATAACGTCCCTGAGTTTTCTCATCGACGGAAAGTTCCTGGGGTCCTTTATCATCCTATGTTCGTCACACCCTCGTAGTTCTTATCCCTCGTGATCAACATGATTTCTTCCGACCGCGAAACTCGGCATGTTTTGAGCTGGTTGCTTTACCACGTTCGATGCAGCGATAGAAACACCAATCAGGTTTTTATGTCATGCTATAAGGTTTCTTTGTGGTTCGCATCCATCCACCGGATGTACAGTAATTTTCCTGCTCTCCGATTTCATTTTATAACGAATTTTCATGCTTCGTCGAACGCCTCACAAATAAAATCATATCAATGGATATGCAGTATACTGGTAATCATAGGTTTTTTTTATGTGTAAAAAAGACAACTTTTCTTTCGAAGAGAAAATCATTACAAAAGCAGGATTCTGAGCAGGAAGAAAAACAACTGATGAAATATACGATGGCTGAAATTTTCGGAAAATTTCTCAGAACCGAGAGGCAATGCAGTAATGATGGCGGTCCTAAATTACGAGTAATAGCAAGCGAGCTCATTATATTCCGAGTTTCGGAACGCCACTGACATAATGACAAATTTTGTTTGGGGGAAAAAATCCGAGTTTTGGGATTCTCTCAGCATTAATCAGTAGGGAAGGTTCATTTTGCTTCGTGAAATGAGGGAGAAAAGAAGCCAGAAACTGGTGAAAGAAAAAAAGCCTTTGAAATCCAGAAAAGAAAAACGAAGCACTGCGCCTTTTTTCCCCCCATTTTAGACCAGTAACGCTGGGTTGGATGTGGTTCGGCAGCACGAGCGAAAGGATGCGATTCGGTGTCGATGATGGATCTCTATAGCCAATGCTATCGCGGAGAGAAAAAAATGATTCAATCAATGTCTTTGCGTACGTTAATCATGCCAGAAAATGGGAAAGAACCGCAAGAAGTCCGCACAAAAAAGAGTTTCTTGGGAACGGATCACTGGCCGGAATTTCGCCACAACAAGATCCTGCTAAATATTCCATGAACTACCCAAACTGGATGCATTAAAGAACGCAAATGTCAACGCAAAACTTATGCTTACCCGATCAACCTTCCTGGATTTTTGAAATACGTCCTCAATACCCCTATGCGATGAAATCCCTTCATCTCAAAAGCGTCGCTCAACATCAGAGAAAAAAACAAAGCGGATAAATACATAACACGTACAAGTGCTACTTGAACTTCGTCTCAAACGGCACAGCAAATAACTTCGAAACCAATTATTTGTCCGCATCAACAGAAAAAAAAACTTGTCCGACGCTAAGTTCGTCCTTGAACTCACTTCACAGACTTTCTGAACAAAAATAGGCGGCAAAAACGTGAAATTAATACTGTACAATAAATGCACTGAAGGACAAAAAGTAACCAAATCTTAAAGTTCACCAAAATATGCATCGACATTGAGGTGTTCTTACAGATCTCTACATCTCACTTCCCACACGAGAAAAATAAAATAACAGTGAGGTACTGTATATAAATCTTTCATGATGCTGTAAGTAAAATTGAGTAAAACACGAAAAACTTCCACATACGTGCGCCGAATCCTCGAGGATTGAACAATTACCAAACATGAGAGCTAACGGCGATACGGAATATCCCGTATAATCAGTAATGACTTTATATCCCACCTGCTACCTCATATCGTAGTACTGCAGAAAGGATCATAAAAATTAAATTGGAAATGAATCAACGCAAACATTTGCAAACTGCAGGATTCGTAAACATCCCGAGTTCGAGCCTTTATCCAACAGCTTCCACTGGAACGCGTCCAACAAACACAGCAATAATCAGTGATCAACGCAAACAACACTATTTTTCTTGTCAGTCGAGGAATGTAGAAATGAAATCAAAATAACAAGGAATCCCGAAAATTCCTGTGAACATACGCGATTGCTGAACTTTGATCATTCGTTGCCTCCGGAGAGTAACACAGTAAAACTGACTTCCAACGCATAAACTCAAAGCGTAGAACAACCATTAAAGCAACCTGAGGTAACGATGAAGAGCAATAACTCATCAAGGTCTCAACAATCCAATTAAAGCAGATGCTTCTGCGCCGCATTCTAAAGCTAACAAGGTTGAACAGAATCACCCTGAATCTGTTTCTATTGCCTGGAGTCCTTTTTCATGAGGAAAAATTTCTCACTGGAACATTGCTGTCGTCCGTTACTCGCTCTGAGCGTCTAAACCAACGAACGATTAAATAATTACTTCCATTCCGATGAGAACCGGTGGATGCGACGACTTTCAAATATATTGTACGTAAATAAATTCCCGCAAGAACCCGATTTTATCCTTGAGATTCTCGTCACGGATTCGCGCCTGACAGGAGTTATTCAGCAAGATCACTTCCAGAGAACACGTGGTTTTTTTTCTCCTATCGAATGTTTCAATTTTGGGCCAATTTTATTTCACAGAATGGTTTGGGGGAAAAAAAGAAAGACGGAATCGCTGGAAGTGATCGTACCCAAGAACAACGCGAAGTGTCACGCGTATTTCTTTCAACGCGGGCGAAACTTGACGTACAGCGGGTCCTTCGGTCGCAGAACCGGCAGGTACTTGAGTTTCACATCCGCCGACGCTCTATCCACCTCCCACGTGAACTCCGAGATCAGAATTCTGCAGATCATCTGAATGACAAATACGCGGATAGGGAACACGGTTAGAAAAAAACGAACACCGCGAGACATATTTTCAATAACCTGCGAAGAACAGAAAGGCACATACCATATTCACCAACAATTGGATTTCAGCGCGAAACGGAATTCCGCGTGTTCCCCAGACCCACACGGTGCGACATTTACTTTTTCACTTTATATTTCAGAGACGGGCGAGCTTAAAGAACATGGTATTGAGTCCAGATATAGAGTTTGAAGCACGTTCAGGACGGAATTGAATGATGCAGCACGCAAAAAATCGTTCTTCACGTTCTCCACCATGTGAAAGGTAGCTTGATTTAGACGCGAAGATTAGAAAATAGTCGCCACTGGTTGTTCAAAAAATTATAAACGAACTCGATAAAAAAATGGACATTTCGAAGAAGCTCGTCAACAAATTCAACACGTCTCTGATTTGTTTCGGTCCAAAAATTAAAGCTCTTTCTACCTTTATTATATTATGAAAACTACAGTGGTACCCCGTATAATCGGCGCCTCGGATAATTGAGTTTTGCATGATGAATTTTCACTGCCACCGATTTTTTTTACGTAACATAAATGGCCCGAAACGTGACCGTTGTTCAAAGAAATTCTTAGATACAGGTGGCTGCCAGATAATACGTCAGGTGCATAAACTCCACACTTATATTCTAGATTGCTTCGCGCATGGTTTTTTTCCAGTTTTTTTGCACATATTCTAGGTCGAATATATATAATCGAGGAATTTTATCAAAAATCCAGGAATTTTCCATGGACACGGATTAGCCATAACACATTGATGCACGAAAAATTATCAGATTTTTTTTGTGGCCTGGGACAAACTAGCTGAACCATAAATTTCTAGATTCCTCTGTTAATAGCATTCACGGATGATGGGCTTCTCACTGAAATGGGTTAACTCTATTAAAAAAGGTAAAAATTGAGTATACTGATGAATTTCAAAACTTTTGAATCGTGATTAAGTATAACATCATTTTAACACTACATGAACAACGCTACGCTTGAGGAATTCAGTCAAATGTTGGACTCATTGAAATCCTCACTTCTGAGAACAGGCCATCATCGCACGGGGGCTACTGTAAAAAGAAAGGAAGAAATGCCGCCGTTTCGTTTACAATGATATGACTACTGAACTTGGCTCCATCACGTGTCGGCCTCAATTACTGCCGACGAGAAAATATAGAAAAGAATTGGGCCACCCGCGACTCTCAACATCCCCACGTCGGGTTGAAAAACTCACCTTCCATCCCGAGAAGATCAATTTGTACCCGATGCACGTCCGTGCTCCACCACCGAACGTGAAGAGTTTCCGCTGATCACCAGAGTTCCTACGACAAAATTTTGGAATACGGAACTCAATTCAACATATTCCCAGCAACGACAACGCTCACTCTTCACAAGCCAGAAATTTCGCGAATTACAATACAGTAATCCCACACAGTGATGCAACTAGCACATTAAAGAGATGCCCCGTGAATGCACAGAGATGTACATTATCAATATTCCTTCTTACAAAAATGTAAATAGTTAAATACTATACTGAAAATTATTTGCATCCGAAATCACTGTTGGAAGATGCAAATTTTCATTCCACTTTTTAGAATACAGTACCGTATAGTTCATTGAAGCTGACCTGAATTCGTTTTTGATAACTTTACGGACGAGAATCATACAAAAAAACCTCACCATGCACAAGCAAAAATGTCCTCCATATAATTTTCGTTTCACAAGATTCAACAGTAGAATTTGCATTTACGCACGTCAATCAAATGAAATGACATTCAGCAATATTTATTCGAAAAATATTATCGAAGATCATACGATTCTATCGATATCCATGCAGTAACCTTCTCTTGGCGGAACAACAGACGACAAATCAAATTGCAAAGAAAGACCACTGCATTACATTTTTCTCCTGTTCTGGGACAGAAAAAGCTGGGGGAAAAATACGTGACCCATTTCTGCATCTATAAAGTCGTCCATTAGGACAGATCGTAAGAGAAAGTGAACAAGACAGCATGTACTCACTCGTGCTTCCAACGGAAAGGACGGAAGCAATGGGGATCCGGAAACACAGCTGGGTCCGTGTGTGCTCCCATGTTAATGTACACCAGAGGAGTACCCCTGGGAATCAGATAGGTGTCCAAAACCGTATCCCGTTTCGCTACTCGCCGACCTCCCATGAAAGGTGGGTACAAACGGAGCACCTCCAGAAGAACGTTGCTCAAGTTTTCGTCAGAAATGATGCCATCGTCATCCACCAGCTGGTCGTGAAACCAAGTTTCATTATCCCCGAAGTGCGAAATTGTATCAACTCGTAATAATAATATCATTCAAATAACAACGTAACGTGAGTACTCTGGTAACCTTGAAATTTATGGATTGCAAGCAGTACTGGAAAGAAAGCCAATACTGTACACAAAGGTCAAATACATTTTTTTTTGCACCAGTTCAGTTTAAAAAAGCAACTCGACGGAACGGGAAATTTAATGACCGCACTCACGGGTTGCCAATGTTCTGAGCTGCAGAAGAAACTGGTCATCAGAGATGCGAATGCTTTTGGAATCAAAGCAGAAACAGCTAGCAGCAAAAACTGCACTTGCAGCTCTTCACTCATCTTAGTACTCTTCAAACAGCCCAGGAATCCTAAACAATAAAATCACATTTTGAAGCGCTTAGAAATGCAAGATACTTATTTCAAGGTAAAAATAGGAAATAAATAAATTAAATAAATAAATAACTTTCAAAATAAGAAGCAAGCCAAAAAAAGGAAACCAAAATCTTGATCGGACGTCGTAATATACATGTATTTTAGATTAAATTATATTTACGGCTACTGTATTCGACTGCACATTCAGACTTACCATCGTCGGATTCTCTGAGCCGCCTAAGGATGAGCTTGACAAGTTTTTCTCTCGCATCCACAGCTTTCCGATACGCACTCGACATCAGCATCGGAAATTTAAAATCCAAGGGAATGGAAAGAACGCCATGCCAGTGTGTGGACACTAACGCGGCTATTTCTTCCTTCAGCTGTGCTGAAGCACCATTCGGCGAAGAACCGAGGAACACATCAAGGCACAGTGCCATACTTTGGGCTTTGAAATACTTGTATACGTTCACGCGTGGACACTTCGCCAAATCTGCCAGGGGCCTCCTCATCCGCTCCCTCAATTCAACCTGAAAATTGCGTCATGAATTACCGTTCATGCTCCTGTATCGGTATAGTATAACGCTTTGGTTTATTTCCGTCCCTCAATGTGTACATACTGTAGTTCCCATAAAATACAGGACGATTTCCTCCTAGAAAGCCCCATTACTGTTTTGGACCCCTTCATAATGTAGAAAAATGAAAACTGAAAAATCCAATGAACGCATGAACGATGACACAGCGACCGACAGAGGATCAGCTCTCGATATTTTATCGAGCCCATTCAACATCACCACTCAAATTTCCAGAACAGGACCGGAAGAATGAAATTACTACCATTATGATTCTCCCCTTCTCGTAGAGTTCCCTGAAACTGAAATTTCATCCCAAAAATTATATATTACATTCTCCACCAACGTTATAAAGCCACCGACAAGGCATCAAGCGAAGTCTACAGCGAGAAGTGATTCTACTGACTGATTTTTCTCAATTTTTACCTCGTCACAAATTATTTGACGAACCAAGGCACACATTCGAAAATACAGCATACCCGAATATTTTCTCAGCGGGAAAAATCCCTTGAAGAACGTGATACTGTAGTAAGGACAGTAGTTCAAATGAATAAGTCTAAGACGTTTGAAAAATCTCACATCAGTAAGAATCAGATAAACCTACTTGGTATGATTGAAGCATGGACTCAGCGAATAGGGGCCGCAACGATTCCCTCAGCAGTTTTGCTTCCGGACCTTCAACCAGGAACAATGTGTCGCCAAAAAGCCTTTTGAAGTAATCATCATATCCAAGCTCATACTCAGACCCATCATCTACGGGAGGTAAAAACCGGTAAGTGAGCAAGATCTGCGCATCAATCCTTGAAATGCAGTGAAATTCAATGCGCGTAATGCATTGGAATAATTCAACCTGGATGAGGATCATCCGAAATTTTTTCCAAGTCTACTAAGTTCAAATGTGAATAAACTACTTTTACGAACCAAAATTCCTCATTACCCTATGTTTGTCTTGGAAAATTTCAAGAAAAAAAGTAGAATTTTATTCTTGAAATTCTTAGCCTCTTTAAAAACCATCAAGGAATAAACGGCTCACCGAACAAAAGTGCAGCGACTGCGGAATTAGAAACGACGATAGCTGTCGGTTTCAAGAGAACCCGGGTTTGGAAAATCCTCGATTTGTGCTCTTTTACTTTAGATTCGACGAAATCGGCCACATCAGTGAAGAGACGGAATCCCCTTTCTCCGGTGAAGAAACTGCCCGAGTCCATTGGCAACGCCTTTGGCGTCCAGCACCGTTGACGTTCCGTCATCATCGCGTCAAAAACGAATCTTTCTTTTGAAAATCAATCCATGCGCGCGAAATAAGATTACAGCATGGCTGGGAGGGAAAAGATTTCTGGAAAAAGCAAACACAATGCAATTGAAAAAAGCTCAGCGTTGAATCACTAGAAAACAGACTCAAGGCTGCTAAGGCTGTCAAAATTTATCAGACGAATACTCAAGATATGCTTCATCGATTTTAATTAAGATGCAAAAAAGGGGCATTTTCAAAGAGTATTTTCTAACTCTGGTGAGAAATTACGCGGGACTGAGAAACAAATTCTCCTCAATTACATTAGGAGAATATTTGCCTGACAAAGATCATTCACCTCAGCAGCAGGAATGACACGACCACGATTCGATACCGGGTAGAATATTCTTTGCTTTCGCAGGATCAACGCGAGCACTTGAACTGTGAAAGCATCTTGGCCCATGAATTTTCATGCACGTAAAAATTCACGCTTCCAGTTTGTTTATTTCGGGGAAGAACACGCAACCGAAGGAACCACAGAAACGATAATTCGAAAAATCTCCCGAAAAATTGCTAAAACTCAAAGTTCCTATAATAAAAGGGTCGCTCGTGAAGCTCCGCTACCAAATTTTCCTTCACAGCAAGCAAATCTACACCGTGGCCATGATTAAAAAAAACGCGAACATTTGGTAACGATTCCCGAAATTCACAACACAATGGCCATGGAAAGTATTATCATTGTGGAGAAATGCGTGATACAAACTGTACCATAACTACGTGTGATCACTAGAAACAGAATGAAACTCGAAGGAGAGAAAATCCAAGACCGCATTGGAGTTTGGACAACACGTATCATAAGCGCGAATGCTCTGTGGACTTGAAATTGTAGCCGCTCAGTAGTCATCATTGTAAGCCCGCTTGTCACGAGTCTTATTTCTCGCCTTCGTCCTTGCTTTGAAAGTTGCCATATTGGACAAATGCTGAAACAAACCAATATACTCTTACAAAATCACTTTCGATAATTTGAACTGCTTTTCTTTGAGTTCTTCGGACACTTGGATATACAGTATGCCTAACGAACAAACTTGCAAGCTGAAAATGAACGGAAAGACGGATGCATTCTTATACAAAGGAACCAACCCTGTCCATCTTCGAGACCTTTCCTGCACGTCTTTCGTCTGAAGGAATGACGGAACCGAGTCCAAAAATGTCCCTAATGAGTTCATTGCTGGCAAGGTGGTAGTTCGTTCCTGGTCCCAACAGAGTGCAGAAGTTGTCATATTGAACTTTACGTGACCAAGAGTCAAGGCGAAGGATTTCTTTGCCGAACTTCATGCTTTCCAGCGGATATTCATTTTCCTACGAAGTAAAATGAAAAAAAAAGATTGATATCATGCATACGAAAACAAGAAACGGTACTCATAATCAATCATATCAGCATACGCAAAAACGATCGACCACTAACCTCAACAGTCCTAAGGATCTCACGGAAGCTAGAACGCTGTTGTTTGCGATCTTTTTTGGCCCTGAATTTTTGAGAATCCGTCGCCAACAAGCGCAATTTGTCGCACAAATCATCGTGCGCTAATATTTCGAAATCTTCGTCTTGCTCTCGGAGGATTTCATACACTAATGCGATGCATTCTCCGCAAGCAATCCTCAATCCCAGATCAGTACTATCGAGCAAGCCCGGTAACTTTTCCAAGTGCCTGGAAAAAACGAGATCCCGTAGCTTACTCATTAAACTGCATGAATTACACCAGGTGATTTATTTTCAATAACAAAAAAATAAATAAATACAAGAATGAATAAAATGAATCTTTCTCACGGCTGACCAATAAACTACGAAGAAATAGTTACCTTTCCACGAAGTTTCCCAACTGCTCAGGAGGTAATAGTGATACAAGTAGCGTCCAGCTACACAAGGCAGCTCCGATCAAAGCGAACATATCCGGATTGAAGCCACCGGTTCCCGAACCACACCCACGCGGGTATGCTAATCCGAATACACTTTCAAGAGCTTTCATTGTAGACTGGAACGCATCCAAGTTATCCCCGCATATGAACGTCAGAAACCCGAGTGCTTCAGCGATTCTTGCACGAGCCGAAGCAGGAACACTTTTATCACTGAGCAGCGTCAGAAGAATTGGATGCACGGAATTGAACAGAAAAATAGTGCCATCATCTCCGAGTTGAAGCATCGCAGCAGCGGTTACGGATGCAGCTGCACCCTGCTCAGGACCTCTGCCCTTGCGAAGGCACCTTTCCATTGAATCAGCTAGCGTTTCATATCTATAAAAAATGGCGAAGGCCGAATCCATACTTGACTAAATTGAGTACAACGATAATAACTTCATTCTTTTTTGCAGCCAATATCGGTTTTGAAGCCGACAGACGAAAAAAAAACAAGGCGGAAGCTTTCGAAACGGCATGAATAACAGTAAGCTGAGTAAGGCTTCGAGAGTCCGACGTAATTATGCTTGGACTTCGTCCATGTGTTGAATCACGTTTTTCTGGACTGCAATGGGAAAATACTAATTGGACCTTCATCAAAAATTGGGAATGAAGTCCCCAAAAAAACCGAATAAAAATGTTTTCTCCACTTCAAGATGTAAAAAATAAATGTGCAAAAAAACCAATACAGAATCTGCTTTGGCATCAGCAGGAGCTCGTGAAGCAAAGAACAAGTCTAGCTAGACCATGCCCAAATAATGATGAAAAAAAATCTGAAAAAGAAACACAAAATTGTTCCGTTTCTGATTATGAAATACGTTTACAGTATTTTATAAAGAAATTTCATCAACTTATGTGAATATCTATAGCTCAATTTGTTCAAGAAACAAAAATACAGAAAAATAAGTTTTCAATTTTTCTATAATAGTTGGAAAACTGTCAGTATCTTGAGACATTTTCTGGATGTCGGGGCATTTTTTCAGTTTCAAGTGTCCTTGAGTTGAATCTTCCGTATTTCGGGGCCCCCTTCACAACATTCCGCATCTTTCAAGGATGACGACAGTGAGAAGCAGTTTTTCACGAAATACCAAATGAATTCAAGTACCCTCGGAAGAGCTGTGATTCGAGTCCGATCTTTCGCGAAATAACGGGTTGCGGAGAAAATCGCGAGCTGAACAGGAACTACAGTGAACATACAGTACCACATATATATTCATTAGAAAATAAGCCCCCAAGTAAATCGGGTTGAAAGAATACGAATGAAAGGTTTCAGCAAGAAAAAAAAATGCTATGAATATCCCCACGTGGTACTATGGACTGAACGTCAAAAGGACTCACCGAGTTGACAAAAAATCAGTCAAAAGCCGAGACTGGAAACTCTTAAGTAGGTACTCAAGGAATCCAGCGCGGCCTTGGGTCGACTTTTCATAGAGTCCATCTATTGCTTCCTTCAGCTTTTCCTCTAAAGCTTCAATCTCTTCTTGTTCCTTTTCTGAGTCATTTTGACTCGTTGCTTCAGAGACTCCGCTCACGACACTTTCAAGATCGGCCAACGAGTCCTTGTCATCAAACTCGGAAGATAAATCTTCCGGTAATCCGCGGCCTGGAAATAATTTATTTTAAATTCTGTACAGTACTTATTTATTGCGGGGTTTTAATCTTCACCATGCCTTCATAAAAATAATATTGGGCAATACAAAACTATTTTCATCCCAAAAATTTGAAGAAAACTCACCAGCATGGCGGCCCTTCGGATTCTTGTCCTTTTTTCCCTTCGGCATTATAAAACCGACTAGTTTTTCCACAGATTAGAAGCCGATGAAATGGATAGGGGTGATCCTACGCAACTCCTCAAATATTTCTGTACACCTCTTAGTCCTAGCACTCAGCATTCATCATCTCCGACGATGCAAAGCAATATCCGCACTGTTTTCACTCGTAGTCCAGCAATCAACGATTGACTGCTCACAATCACGAGATAAACCCAAGCTGGGTGCCACAAACACACTGCGAGAACTCTTTTCAAGACCACCGAAGCAGCTTCTCATGATGCAACTCAGCAGCTCAACAAAGTCAGCGTTCTTGGTTGGATTCGTTATTCAACCAATGGGCGTCGATCAAGAGGTCTGACGGAAACACATCAACTTCGCATGCTTCCACAACGCGAAGGACACAGACTCGAGTTTCGAATAATTTTGAGTAAGCCACAGAGCCGAAAATCGGTTTCGACTGAGAAATACAAAAAGGAAGTAAGATTAAAGCAAACCTTCAAAAGACGAAAGGACGCCAACACATTCATTATAATTTGCAACAAGGCAGATTACTCCTCAGAAGACCAAAAAAGCCAACTTCAATTCGACGCCAACGCGATGCCAGTTCAAACTTGGAGCAAAGGCGCCGAGACACGATATTCATCGAAACTGGGCTATTCTGGCCAAAAATAACCACATTCTCAAAGTTAGCTTTCAATCACTTCCGCATCAACATTGGATTGATCATAAATATGATATAAACATCAATTCGATGAATAAAGAGGTCATGAATTAAGCAAAGTTCGGTCTCTGTGATTGTGCACCGATATCCAACCATCGTTTTCGAATAGTTTCGGGAAAGCAGCCGCCAAGCAATGGCACTTGCGAATAAGAATTTACGTCGAAATTCCACAAGATTTTTTTGCGGGCATAAATGGGGCCGGCTAAGACAGTGCGAACCTTCAACAAAGATAAAATAATGCGGCCTTTATAATTATTTTTGACACATTTAATTTACGGTACGGAAACGGACTACAGTATCTTCAAGGCAGGTCTTTCCGCGGTTGATCGGAATGTTAGGAGTACTATTCGAAATGAAAAAAAAGTGCATGGTGTCTTCCACAAGTTCAACATGGCTGAAATTTTCCCGGGCAAGTTTTATACGAAATTCATAAATTCTCCAAAACGGTTCGTCGCTGAACGAAACGCCCGCACTGGTTATCCAACTTTCGACCGAACTTCTCAACAGGTTAGGATAACCAAAATCAGGACCAGAAAAATCATAAATCCATCATTAGCACTTCCGCGTTCAAAAAATACATATCAGCAATCCGATGATGATGGGCCGCTCGGTGAATCTATGTTTGGCAGGGATCGTTTATTTTGCGCAGCGAGCCGATCAAGCTCGGCTGCCGCGTCCGTCCTAGTGCTAATTTTGTCCTGAAGCCTCAACGAGGTGGCTGGGGAAGTACTGGCGCCACCAGCAGATGACGGCGTGGGCGGCTTCTTACTAAGCAAAGAATTGAAAAAATTGGCCAGGACTCCTTCGGAAGTCATGCTGGCGGAGCCCGATTCCAGCTTCTTCGGCGTGCTTTGAACACTGCCGGATGATCTCCGATCACCGCCAGTCTTCTGAATAGCCATCGGGGTCCTTGAGTCCGCAGGTTTAGTTGTGGGCCCAGGACCATTCGTGGAAGAGGTTACGGCAGCTCCGGGAACATTGCCGGCCTGCTGATGCTTGCTCAGGAAACCTTGATCATCTTCGGCACTGACTTCAACATCTCTTTGGGATCCACCGATTTTTCGGGTCGCCGGCTTAGCGATAACATCTGTGTAGTAATCCTCTGGATTCATAGCCTGCATGTTTTCGTACAAAATCGCGATCTTCTTCATGTTGTCCCATCCGGACGGAATGAAAATGGCATCTTTCTCCACGACCAACGCCGGTGTGCGGAACTGTAACCCATAGATGCGATGTACAAGATATTTATACAGCAAATCACAGTTTTTGTCATCTTTGACTGAAGTGTAAAACAGGGCAGCTCCGTATTGAAGACAAAACTTTCGCACAGCTTGCTGAATGAAGTCGAAATGCTCTTCTCGGTAGTCCTCTTTTTCCAGATGAGTCATGTAATCGGTTTTCGTAACAACCACAATCAAATCCAGCCCTAGGTTGCGCGCGAGAACACCCTCGGGCAGAGGTTCGTCTGCTGCATTGTCGCCATCATCATCCTTGGATCCGTCGCCATCGATCGTGACAGCAACTTCTTCCAAAATTGTTGACTTGTTCATCATTGAGGCGTTCATGGATGAACCCATATTCTGAAATGAAAATCGAAGAATCAGAGCGGAGTTCGATAATTTTTTTTAAACGCCATCGTGTAGCCATCTTGAGTAGTCCACACTCATTCTCAGTTTGTAAAAGTGCACCTTCCTTCCGAAAATAAAATCCTTACAGAGAAATTACCTGAGCCGCGGTTTGATCCAGTTCATCGCCAGGTTCCACATAATCTCTCCATCGACTGGCAACACGGCGCTGAAGAAGCCTAACAGTTTTTGCGTCGAATTTCAATTTGTCTAAGTGATCTTGCAATACAGAAGCCCATTTCTGTAAAGAATCAAGAATTTGCCATGGTTTTGTCATTGAAACAGACAAGATAACCATGGTATTCTCAACGCTCTTTTCCGTGAGGGCAAATTCGAGAAGGTGTTCGTAATGGGCTTCCCCATCCAATATCCAAACGTTCAATCGAGTTTGATCATCACGGTACTCGTCTCGTACATCAATGAACGCGTACTCCAGTCCAGAGCCTTTCCGCGGGTCTTCGTTGCCTTGCAGTTTAGCGATTAGAGTAGTTTTACCACTCTCGTTGTCTCCGAGGACTACTACATTTCGATCCGACGGTAGCGCAGCCGAATCCTGAGATTTCACATTCTTTAGAATTGCAGACCATACATTTGAGTTTGCGTCCTCTCCGACGAACGTTGTTTCACCAGGTCTTGGTGGGAGTCCGTCGATTCCTCTGAACATCTGGGATATCATCCGCTCGAACACGAATAATTATCGACAATATTTCAGTGAATTGCCGAGCCACAACAGAACTTCATGTCTAGATCTGAAACGCATACGGAACAGGAATAACTGATATTGCTGACATCCTCCACGAAACACCTCACACACTCACAGTCCATCAGGCAAATCAAACTAGCAATGAATCAATTTTCCACAACACATCACTTGCTCAATCTGGAAACCTGCAGTACATCCATTCTCCGGGTAGGCCTGTTGGACGGAAAATTTGAACACGCAGATGCCTCTGATAGTCTGATACTGTACTCTGATGTGAAGTGACGCCCCCCACATGTGCTGGCTTAATCGACTCGAAAGGACACTTGAATTAAATAAAGAAATGGTTGCCCTGACATCCGGGCAATGTCGAGAGATGCAGGCACTTTAACAATTATTGTAAGAAAAATTAAAAGTTCTATTTTTTCAAAATTTTGATATATTTTCAAAATTGAGCTATTTATCTTCAAGAATTCAAAATACATTTCGGATTTTGCATTCAACATGAATGATGATCTAAAATAGGATACATTTGCGTTTTTACTTTTAGGGGTTTTCCATATGTACACCGCTAAACTTGAAAAAAATGTATTTCAACTGCAAACAATTTTCATGGAGCTTGTGTGCTGAACATTCCAACATTTAGGGACAAGCTCCAATAATCAGCAATTATGTCTGCTTCTTGGGCTTCCACTGTACAATACAGTACAGTACAGTACAGAACATTCCTTTTCCATCAATAAACTTGCTCAGCAGTTCAGCCTCCTGACATTCTTGAAAGTGCAAATATATGGATTACATAATTTCAACGAATGAAAAATTTTAACGCAGTGAAAAACGGTATGCAGCAGCTAATGCGTTCTTGTTCAACTAATACATTGATCGTATTTTACTCATCAATCATGTTGAATTTTCACGATAAATCTAAATTTTAAACTTTTGGCGCATTCAGGCGCAATCATATGAGAGGTACAGTCAGAGTTGAGTCACTGTATGAAGAATTTTATAGAAAAATTATACTGTACACTGCACAGCAATTATTTATAAAGCCTGCGTGTCCTTAAATATTTGGGAATTCTTAGGAATTTTTTGGTTGCAATATTTACTTCCATTGTTTAAAAAATTCCCCACCATCCCTATTCTCTTCTGGACTGTTAATCATCGACAGATCTGAGCATTTTTCAAAATTTAGCCAACATATTTCATTTCAACTCAGATATGGGAGAATGTTATAATTTTGTTCACCTATCAAATTGTGCATTCTTGACGTGTGCTATAGTTTCGTTTTCTTAAATTTCTGCCGAATTTACTTGAACTCTTAATAAAAGCAAGGATCAAGACGGTTTGCCACTTAATCCTCATACTACTGTACATCATTGTTTGTTATTGTGCTCATTTAGATTTTTTGAATTGCAGTCCTGATAATTTACCAAATCCTCCCGTATTAATTGACACATTATTGCTGGATTGGGAATGATGTTTATCCAGAAAATTTCCGACTGCCAGTTCTCGCTCTAATTTAAATCTGACGGTGATTAAACAGGAATTGATGAATTGGTCTGGAAAACATAAAATTGTACTCCAGATCCATATCCATAGGAATGATGTTTATCCAGAAAATTTCCGACTGCCAGTTCTCGCTCTAATTTAAATCTGACGGTGATTAAACAGGAATTGATGAATTGGTCTGGAAAACATAAAATTGTACTCCAGATCCATATCTATTTGTCCCATCAGAAGACGTCAAAAAATGATTAAATCCTTCAAAATGTATGACACATCAGCCGTCGGGCACACCCGCGCAGCAATTCCAAAAAGTCAATACGCGAGAAATTCAAAGGCAGATCGAAAAACAGATTGCGTTGCTTCATTTTCATAATGTATACAACACTCAACATCGGCAAAAAAGAGTCTCATGTAAAAAAAAAAAAAACAAGGCAATATATTCAATCAAAATTAGCACGAATCATTGGCGCCTCCCTGGTCCTCCACGTAATAACACTGACAATTCAGCATCTGCCCAATGACTGTCACGCAAACCCCCCAAAGCTCCAGCCCAGGTGCCATTTGATCGATGCACGACATTGCGCACAACTCGTCCAAGTAGTCCGGAAACGACGATGGGTCACTTCCGCAAGTGCAAGGCCCGTGGGAAGGCCCGTCGAGTTCAAGCATTTTCACTACACCTGTTTCCACTCGGACCTTATCGATGACGGGTTCGAGAGGAGGATTCTTCACCGAAAAGGATTCGCTGCTGCTGCTAGACATTCTTCGGACTAATTGAGGCGCTGCTATGCGTAATTAAAAAAAAAAGAGTTGGACTGTATTTAACGAATCAATTCGAGTGACACCTGGTTAAAATAAATTAAATATTAAGCTCACAGGAATCGGCAGCAGGCACAGACCTGCCGTCAGCGGAGAACAAATTCAGCAGCATGACATTGGCGCACATGCTGAGCACAACTCGATGAGGTTTCCGCATTTCACCACGGATTTAAATCCAAAAAATACGCGTCAATTCTCGAAAAACTGCACACCTGAATATAAGATGAACATTTTGATTGTACATAATTGTAATACATGAACTTAATTCATGAATTTTTGGCAGAGCAACGATGGGACTATATGCAATACAGTAATTATTTTAGCCCTAAAACACGATAAAATTCCCAAATTATGGCAGGATTTTTTTATTCAATGCGTTTGCTGGTGCCAAGGAAATAATGAAAATTCATGCGCATTCCCGGGATAATTATACAGCTTATGAGGAAAATTCCGAATAAATCCTTGAATTTTAAAGTATTTCGGTTATTTTTTAAAATATCACATATATTGTACTGTAATTAAACGAATTTTAAAAATGCACCCTTTCCTTTCTTGTACAAGCAGGTGCCCACCAAATTGTTTCTTGTACTTCCGAATATTTCCCTATACTAGCAGTACTTGTTAACTTCTCTCCTTGGACAAATTTCAAACACCTAATAGGTTCAAAAAACTAATCTTTGAAACAATTATATTTTGCGCGTGATTATAGTGTAGGTCTACTTTGCTAATAAATTGGTTTCACTTTCTGGAATGCTTCTCGAATGAGTTGATTGGATGCTGGAATTGGAGCCAAGGGTTCATATTTGCCTGACTAGCCGTTTACTTTCTTTCAAAATACATCCCTACTTTTTTTTTTACTCTCTCTTTTTCTTTTGGAGAAAATAAAAGTCAAAATACCTCAGAAAATTTGAGGTTACCAGATTTGAGACGAAAAGCCTTGGTGTCATTAGACAGGTTCTTAATGTATTGTTTCTCAGGGAATTCAGCCGGGACTTGAAAAAATTCGGCTTAGAGAGGTTCAAGTTATGGACTGCAGATAAAAAAGAAAAAACACTCAGTTGACAACCTTGACAAGGAAATACAGTAAAAGCTAGTTGTTTTCAAATTCTCTTGAAGGACACGAAGTAAATAAGTAACATTGAAATTGAAACGATAATTTATACGGATCCATTGACTGTTATCTGACCGGCACTTCGGCGCCACGACCGAAGATTGGCACAAGTTGACGCAGTACGGCGACGAACAGCCGGAAAAGTCTCACCGTTTCATATGGACCAGTATTTTGACGGCTTTTCATATCTTTAGGAACAAGCTGTGACGCAAAACTCGGTTCTTCATTTCTAAATATAGCGTAATGTTTCTCGCGATTAATTCAAAAAGGGTTTTAATTTCAAACTCCGTTGAGGATAATGACGCGATTTTATGCGACAGATAGTATATAGATGGAAATTTATTCTCAATCGCCTTCGCGCCCTATCGAAAGTTCGATGCGTACCAAGGCATAATAGTTCCTTGAAAATTTTGAAATTCTAAAAATAAAATATTGGCATTTGAGATAATGATGAAGCCTGATCCGTTTCGTACGCGATTAGCTTAGTTGCGTCTGGGAATTTGACGTAAAGCTGAACAGGAAATTCCGCTGAAAGCAAAATCGAATTTTGATAAGGACGTGTTGAATAACTTGAGATAATGATTTTTCACATTTTAGGGTCAGGAATTCTGAGAAACGGTCAACTGAACAAGTTTCGATTACTCTCACATTAATTTTGCGAAAAATAATTCGTTTTCAGTTTCTGAAGGGCCGGTCTATTGAAATACGGAAAATGTTGAGAGACAATTTGTCAGAGGGTAAGGTAAAACGATGAAAGGATTTGGATTTTTCGTTTGTTTTAGTTTCAATTCCAGGAAAGAATGTTGCCCGTATCCTGCCATTAAACAAAAAACTCGAAGTATGCAAATTCTCATAAAGCACGAAAATCGAAGTCATGTTCGAAAATAATGAGACTTTTTTAATTAGCCTTACATTTGCAATATCGTTTTTCCATTACATATAATCCCTCGGCCTATGCATACAAAATCCCGCAATTATTTTCGGGGTTTTCATCTTCAAATACATAATATGCATACGCATAGGAAATGAAAGCAGTACACAATTCTGAAACCATTTCACTTCTTTATTTTCTTTTTGCCATCCCGGGGAAAAATCTGCATTCCTTTGGAAAATATTTCAAAACTCCTGAAATATCTTCATGAGCAATGCAGATCCTGTTGCCTGACTGGCCTTTAGAAATCAATTTGAAAGGCGAGTGGAACTGGGACAACTTCATCCGGATCGTATTCAACCAACCAGCATATCAGAGAGCACATGAGAATTTTAAGGAATGTTGTTTAATGCGCGTTCTATTAATCATAGCAATTTAACTAAATACAGAATATGTTCCGTGATTAAAAAAAATTATTTAACTTGAATGTTGCAATTTCTAAGGCGATGGCCCTTTGGACCTCTCAGTAAAATAGTATCCTGCGTATTTAAAGTTGGCTGAGTTATTCTTGATTCTCTCTAAACGTGCATTTTGTCAAGATTTTGTTTCGTTTTAACGCGTCATTTGCTATTAAGTAAATGTTTCATGCTCTCATGAACGCTAAATCCAATATATCCGCAAATATATTCTAGATTTTGAAATATTTTTTAGTTATTCTTTTTTTCTAGGAAATACTTTCCATGTCCGGAGATTGATAATACCTTAGTAATATTTCAGAAAAGCTCTACGAGGTATTGCTCATTGATCTTCGTCTCAATCATCGCGCTGATTTTAGAACGATAATAATTAGGCCTATACAGAACCCGACGATGAGGGATTTTAAATTAATGAATTCAATTATCTTGATCCTCCACGGAAATACAGCAATTTGTTCTTAATCGTCGCAGGATCCACCGCTCTGTATTATATTCGGATATTAAAAGCTAATTTAGATGCTCCGCGAATTAGTGGTTTTCGCACTTTATGCTGAACTCATTTACCAAAAATCCAGAGCCATAATTTTGGAATGCATTAAAATCAGGCGGACGCAGTTTTTTTTCCGCCAGAAAAGCTGACATAAAATAACTTGACATGGTTGTCCTTGGTTGCTAATTTCTTGGACGGAAGTTATTCAGTCTTAAGCTACATGATCTCGGTACCTGGCCAAAACCCACAAGCAGTTGAACAAGCTCGTGCTACGGAATTATCGTCATTCAGAGATTATTAATCACAAAGAATTTCACTGGGCAAAGTTGCAATGAAAGCAGAAACGTCCCCGAAGCTGAGTCGGTTCGTCAATTATTGTTTTTTCTACGTTCTTGTGCTGGCGATACCAACAAAAACCTCAGCGATAATTTTCAAAACTTCACAATCAAGCAACGCTCTTCAAACTTGCTCAAGAATTTTACAAGATTGGCTCGAGCACACGTCAACAGAAATTGCCGACTTTGAATTCCTGTACACCAACAAAACTCAGCTGCCGATAAGTGGAAATGCTGGTGCCTGGTCATTTCTGATGATCGAAAGTGGAGGAAATTATAGCCAGAATTACGTACTAGACACCGGAGTAACCAAATCATACTTCAATCATCGAGTGCGAGGCAAGAAAACTTCTCAATTAATTGTCACATCGGATTCTACAAAAGCGTTGCGTTCGCTGATCGAGAAAAACAATGGAAAACGATTTATGCAATTTGAGCCATCTTATTGGTACACATT